CTATGTTACAATATTACAACATATAAACATACATATCTTACTTTGACATTACTCTATTGCATTCATTTGACCTCAAAACTCAAACTCACTACTGATAAACTTAGGTTTTATGACATCACTGATATTCTTGATACAGTGTTCTCCCTTAACCATGGCTTGACGTGTTACAGAATAAGACGACTGTAACAGACTAATATCCCCTCAATTTTGTGACAAATCTTCATAAATATTGTGATTCTGTTACATTCGCAAAATGTTGTGAAAATTGCAAAAAATTTCATGAATCCTAAAGTCACAGTGACTTTTGCAAAATTTCGTCTTCACGATTGCCATGTATTCTACTTACCTCGTTTAGCGATGGACTGCGGGCATCCAAGATTGAGGTCTATAGCGTCACAGCTATCCTGAGCTAGTAATGCTGCTTTTAGAAATATATTCGGATCATTGGCACAAAACTGAAATCAAATCAAATCAAAAATTTATTTCCATTCATACATTAATTTAAATACAGTAATATCAAGTCACACGTGTTTAAATGGTTACATTGAAAGGTCTGGGTCCTATCATAAAAACTGTAGACCGGGGGAAATTAAAAATAATATAAAGATCCTGTAAGCTATATCTATATTAACTTGGGACACTCAGTTACAAATATCACAAGGTCTGTTTCGTTATCTTCATAACAGATCTGAAGAAAGTGCTGTGATTGCAAAGTTGTTGCGATCTCCTTAACAACAATTAAACCAACATTACTGCAATATTGTGATTCAGAGAACTGTTTATTTGTAAATAAATTCACAGGTTTATGGATTTAGACGCAAGTGGCCGCAAATGATCCCACCAGAATCCATATTGCTTACAACACCAATGTACAAGTATAATCGGTGACAATGGTTTCAGATTTAGAAGCATAACACAAACAATCACAGAAAATTACATGTAGTAGCAATTCTTATCAGCCCATATACATACACAGATACAAATTTATACTGCTACATGTACATGTATGTACCACTTTGCCTTAGAAAAAAATAATAGGACTAACAATTTTTCAGTGTTGTGCCTGGCTCACTCATACCAACAAAATACTCACAGACTCCCCACTATTAATTAACTTGGAGCAACTGTACTAGCTTTTCAAAGCGATGGCTTGATCAGCCAGTCAGAAATAAAAACGTATACCCTCGGTATGTAAAATTTTTCACACAGACACTTGACATAGGAAATTAATTTTAAAAATGAATCCAAATTCTAATAAACTTTATAGATAACACATAAATGATATATTATACATGGACTTAGGTACATGCTTTTAATTACAAAATGATTTTTTGGAAATTTTTCCCACATGTGTCTATGATTATTAACTGTCTATTTCATATAAGGCAGCGGATACACACAGTGATATATACATACAAGTTTAACATTAGATTACCTGAACTATAAGTGGTCTATCTTCTGGGCATGAAAGTAATGCTTCTTTGCGGTAGTTTTCATCTCTGATGAACACAGAGGCATGGAACATTGGGGTATAACACAACTGAGCACCATAACGTCTGCTTAGCATTCTCCATGCTAACTCACTTTGGTCAACCATTGGTGCCACCACATACTTGGCCCTCTGTAGAACTTTCTCCCAGAATTCAAACTTCTCTTTATCTCTCTCATCTGGGAACATGCATATTAAGTTGAACACAACAAAAACTACATGTATATGTTATTTGTTTTGCTTTTCATTCACAAAAAAAATTATATCCTAAAAAAAAAACGTGCAAGAATTAATTATTCAATGGGTTTTAATTTTGCTTATTTCGCTGACTGGAAAATGCACTAAATTAACCCAGTGAATATGTAAAATTTAGCATAGAACACATTATCTAAATGATAAAACCATGAATTTAAAACCCACTGAATATGCCTGAATAGGTAAATCAGCAAAGTTTTAAACCCAATGAAAATTAATCATTTTACAGTAGCCGAAAATCAGCTTGCCTCATAGCAGACATCTGTTATTGTAATAGGTGATTTTCTGCTCACTGTGACATTGTAATGCATGAAAGATGCAGATCGAATGCCTGTTGTAAAAATCAAATGATTTCATTTTGAACTTGAATTTCCTTTTTTTTTATACATGTAGTTCAGTGTCAACTTACCTTTAATTAATTTAGAATTTGTAATACACTTGCATTATCATATTACATGTATATGCAAAATAAAGACTTGCAGTCTACCAATTTTGGTTAAATCCCTGAATATAATTGCTGTGTCTTAGTATTAAAACCAACCGATGTTCTCAATATCCATTACCTTAACCTATTCTGTCTGTGCAATCCAGAAAAATGCATTAAATTTAGTGCTTTAGGTTGTTTGGGGGATAAACATGGCCGTGAGATGGCCATTTCAATAATATTGAAAACTAATCAACACACAGATGATGGACAGAAATAAACTCCCATTCTATGTGCAAACAGGGGTGAAAAAGATAATAGTCTCAATTATATTGTAACGTATCTACTATATCAGTAAATCTGTGTTCAAAGTCAGCAAAAAATAGTACTTTCCAGAAAGCAATGATTTTTAGATATTAAACTATAATTTATCAAATACTGATATCTACTCTGAAAAAACTCATTATGAATAACTATTTGCATATAAAGTATTTGAATAGCAATTACAGATAGGTAATAAATAATGTTTTTCTAGATGTTCTGCTCCACAATGGATAAATATTTATAATTAACATAATAGTAGGAAAATTACAGATATTATAGACAGCACATGTAATGAAAGGCTAACCACCGATAATAGACTATCTGGATCGTTTTTAAGCATTTTGACAACCAAACAAAATTTGTTTTTGATTTTGAATACACAAAAAAACACTGAGACGAAGACCATTATGGAAAAATAATTTCTAATTATTTTAAAAAGGTTCGACCAGAAAATATTTGACCATTTATAGAAAGGGCTTTGCATGACGCATTCTTGTTATACTGCTTAGTGACATACTATAAGTAATCTCATTGGTGTTGCAGGATAGTTGAATATTGTTTTTCTGAGAATAATAATCCTTATTATAGTTATGAAATTATAGTTTGAAACATATGTACATTATATGACAAATTCTCAACATTGAAATAAATAAATCTAAATGTATGTAATGTGTTGCAACACAACTAATTAAAATTGAAAGAAATTGCAATATAAAATATTCAATCAGCAACAATGATGGGCGTATTTCACGGTCAGTATTGTTTACAAAAATATTTGTATGGCATGAAAATGATGAAGATTTTGACTTTGACTGTGTTTCAACAGACTCTAATATTTTTAACCTTGTAAATTCAGGTGTTACATAATTACCGGTAATGTTGTAATAAAATGTGCATATTTTTTGTGACCATTTCTGTTTCTTCATTGTAAAAGTCAATGGTGACGTACTAGTTTCGTAATTTTACTTTCATGATTGATTTTCTGAGTTGAGGATGCTGGGTGCTAATGCGATCTAGTACGGTGATGATAACAGGTGACTTCATGTCTAAATCCTAAGAAATGAGATTTAAAACTCACAACTGGCGGTTTATCAATATTAGGGATTGTCAACTTCTCCATGGCTACAGGTTTTTTGAAGAAGAAAAAATTTGTATTCACATTTATTTTGTAGTTACATTTTTATGTATATCATAGAGTCCATAGTTTATTTTTCTGAGTGATTTGACTACACTGTGTACTTGGCATTTCCCAGTACTTGTATACTGTGTTCTCCAGCATAAATACATGTATATGATTATTCAGAAACATAAAATTGTAATATGATTTTCATTCGCTATCTTCAGGTAGTACCCAAGTCCCACGTTGACGATGCCCCGGACCATTTACTTACTTATCAATGGTCTGACTGGTATATACAAAATGCGACCAAGGAAACATCAGAATTAAAAAAAAAGAAGCTAAAAGTCAATTGCCCATGTCAAGAAAGCCAACAATCTGTCAGCCATCGCCGTCCACACCAGCGATATGATTTTACACATAGAGAATCGCAAATGCATAGAAATGAACACTTAATACATCTATCCCTTCCAGCATTTGAATCATCCGTCTTTATGAGTGATATAACTGCTATTTCCATCTATTTGCTTAGTGGTCTGAGAGTAAATATTGTCAAGTTCGTTGCTATGTTTCTAGCCATACAATGAACTTGAAACAAAAGAAGTTGTCCAATCCAAATGACCTGCGAGTTTCCTAGCTAATAAAGGTTAAGGCCAAAAAAAAAACAATTTTGCCCAATCATTCCAATGGTTGGATAGGTCATTTTTATCTAGAGGCGCCCATGAAACCAAAATTTGTAAAAAAAAATCGATGATAATAACCAAGGGGTGAGATATTATTTACCACAGTGATAGCTACAGTAATTGCGACCAAATCAATATTGGCAAGATTCCAGGAAACGCAATGATCAGTGAGGCCCAAAACAACACAAATCTTGGCAGGGCTCCAGAAGGAGTGCCTACACTTTATGCAATTTTTTTTTTTAAGTTATGCTAATTTATTCATGACGTAGCAGTTTCTGTGCTCATGAATATTCATTAATTTGTGGGTCAATACATTTTAAAAGGGGCGATATATTATTTTGGGGGGAAGAGTTAGAAAGGGGGATTAGTAATCCTTAGGGGGTCAATACAAAAGAAGGGACCCATTTGGAGAGCAGCCATGCTCCTCGTGTCTGTTGTTGCACGTGACCTACAGCTGTCAACTGTGTTCGTTCTTCTACGACTTCGACTGGCTTCCATGTGGGGTAGTATTCTTGTGTTCTGTTTTTCTGACTTTAGTTTTTTGAATCCGCTGTTCATGTTTTTAAAGTCTTTCATGTCTTTTGTAGGAGTGTCCAATCCGTGATTCAAACTTGCGATCTTTGAGTTCCCAGCACACTGTCTTGTCCACTGTACCACGAGTGTCTTCACACAAGAGATAGGATTTAAGTCCTATTCATAGGAGCACTGTCTTCACTAGCATTCAAAAATCTAACTAAACATACTGGATTCGAACCAGCGATCGCTCACATTACTGACATAGTACAAATCAACTGAGCTATGTGGGTAGTCATGCAAATTGAATAATTTGTTGTCATATTTAGCTTTATTGCCAAATAGTATTTGCGAGAAAAATATGGGCAGGCATGGGAATTGAACCCGGGTCCTCCTGATCACTGTGTAGACAACTGAACCACAAGACCACAATTGATTGACTGGATGTGTTTGCATTTGTTCCTGTTAATAATTCCGTTGCCTATACCTGACCCGATCCTAACCCTAATGCCAAGACACGTTCCTGTTTATAATTGCTCAATAATGATACTCTGTTGTGCACTGTCTGCGGGTAAGTTGCATTGATGTCAACTGATTAAACAAGTCGCGTTTAAGTAATTTCCACTATTAACAAGTGGTTAAATTGTGACAATAAATGTGTGGACAAATATTTGAGATTAATTTTGGTGTAGACAACTCTCGTTTAATTAATTCCCACAATTACAAGTTGTTAAATTGAGAGAATAAATGTGCAGACAAATATTTTAGACTTATTTTGGTGTAGACAGCTCTGTTTAATTA